AATCTGGTAAGAGAAAAATTAATTGATTGTCCCTTTCCAATAATTTCGAACGAAAGCTATGTACTAATGTTCAGATTATCGTATGATTGCTTTGAAAGTGGTATATTTTTTTTGTACGATTTTCTAATCATGTGTACTAGGCTTTAGAAGGATTGACATCTGATCTCCCTGATATTCTCTACTTTCTCCGTCTGCATTGCTATGAACTTCAGCACTGTAAAGCTTGTCACCCTTTCTTTCTGAGCCAAGACGTACAATCAAGGATGGAAATGCAAACATTTTAATTGCAGAAGGTGACCTACAAATTCTGAAACCAAGGAGAAGGGGAAAGTTTCCAATAAGAAGTGACTGCTCTGGGCTTCAGCAAAATGGCAGTCTATAGCAAGAAGAAATAGGACCAATGCTGGAAGCAAATTATAGCACACACCACTAATGATAGCATAATTAATGTGGAATGTATGTTCTTTTGTTAAAGAACATTAAGTGCAAAGTTCTGCTTTAAATGTGCAGGCTGCTTAGTTTTCTTTTTATAACCACTTTCCAGCCACCCTATAGCAGTTTTAAAGCTACAGGACGCCGCTCTGCGCAAAATCACATATATACACGTGTGATTTTGCATTTTCAGGTACAGGGAGCGTGTGCTGTCTCCTACCCGAGCTGTCATTGGCTCCCATAGGGGTCAATCATCAGGTCCCGGCCAGCGATTCATGAACGAGACAGGCGGACTGAGGAGCAGCTGACAGGAAAGAAATCTCTGAGTGTAAACACAGATCTCTTTCCTGTCAGCAGGGAGTGCTAGTTTTTATCTCTCTGCAAACAGGGAGATAAAAGCCAGCATGTCCCCTAGTAAAACAGAACACAGTACAGTGTAATCACAACACAAAACACAGTTCACCTGTTGATCGACCCAGATGTTAACCCCTTCCTGCCCAGTGTCAGTAGCTGTATTAGTGTCACTGGAGATATCAGTGGCAGATGGTCAGTCCCCACCCAGTGTCAGAATGTATGTCGTACTATCACAGTCTCACTATAAGTCACTGATCGTCGCCATTACTAGTATTAAAAATAAAATTTAAAATTCCAGTATATATATATATACACAGCCATTTGTAGACGCTAAAACTTTCGTGCAAAGCAATTACTATACACCTATCGGGATTTTCGTTATTAACTAAAGACATGTAGCAGAACACCTTTTGGCCTAAATTTTTTGAAGAAATGTTATTTTTTATTTGATGTTTTATAGCAAAAAGTTACACTTTTTTTTCCCCCTTCAATTTTTGATCTTTTTTCATGTATAGCACAAAGAATAAAAAAAACCCAGTGATTATCAAATACCACCCAAAAAAAAAAAGCTCTATTTGTGCGAACAAAATAATATAAATTTGCACAGTGTTGCATGACCGCGCAATTCTCAGATGAGACCAAAATTTTTTGATCTAAAAGCAAAACGCTGTGTGTGGCGGAAAACTAACATTGCACACCACCCTGAACTCACCATCCCCACTGTGAAACATCCTGGTGGCAGCATCATGTTGTGGAAATGCTTTTTTTCAGCAGGGACAGGGAAGCTGGTTAGAGTTAATAGGAAGATGGATGGAGCCAAATACAGGGCAATTTTAGAAGAAAACCTGTTAGTCTGCAAAAGACTTGAGACTGGGGCAGAGGTTCACCTTCCAGCAGGACAACGACCCTAAACATACAGCCAGAGCTACAATGGAATGGTTTAGATCAAAGCAGAATCATGTGTTAGAACTGCCCAGTCAAAGTCCAGACCTAAATCCAATTGAGAATCTGTGGCAAGACTTGAAAATTGGGGTACACAGACGCTCTCCATGCAATCTGACAGAGCTTGAGCTATTTTGCAAAGAAGAATGGGCAAAAATGTCACTCTCTATATGTGCAAAACTGGTAGAGACTTACCCAAACAAACTTGCAGCTGTAATTTCAGTGAAAGGTGGTTCTACAAAGTATTGACTCGGGGGGGGGGGGGGGGGGGTTTTGAATATAAATGCACGCCACACTTTTCAGATCTTTATTTGGAAAAAATGTTTTAAAACCATTAATCATTTTCGTTCCACTTCACAATTATGTGCCACTTTGTGTTGGTTTATCACATAAAATCCCAATAAAATACATTTACATTTTTCATTGTAACATGACAAAATGTGGAAAAGGGGTATGAATACTTTTTCAAGGCACTGTAAGAGCTCCCTTCATTGGAACTAAGGGGCTAAGCCCAACCCCTGAAAAACAACCGCACATCATAATCCCCCCTACACCAAACTTTACAATTGGCACAATGCAGTCAGGCAAGAGCCGTTCTCCTGCAACCACCAAACCCAGACACATCCATTGGATTGCCAGACAGGGAAGCGTGATTCGTCACTCCAGAGAACACTTCTCCACTGTTCTAGAGTCCAGTGGTGGTGTGTTTTACACTACTGCATCCGACGCTTTGCATTGCACTTGGTGATGTAAGGCTTGGATGCAGCTGCTCGGCCATGGAAACCCATTCCATGAAGCTCTCTACACACTGTTATTGTGCTAATCTGAAGGCCACACAAAGTTTGGAAGTCTTTAGCTATTGACTCTGCAGACAGTTGGCGACTTCTGCTCTGTCATTTTACGTGGCCTACCACTTCATGCCCGAGTTGCTGTTGTTCCCAGTTGCTTCCACTTTGTTATAATATCACTAACAGTTGACTGTGGAATATTTAGTAGCAAGGAAATTTCACGGATGGACTTATTGCACAGGAGGCAACCTATCACGGTACCACGGTTGAATTTGCTGGGCTCTTGAGAGTGACCCATTCTTTCACAAATGTTTGTAGAAGCAGTCTGTATGCCTAGGTGCTTGATTTTATACACCTGTGGCCATGGAGGTGATTCGAACACACCTGAATCCAATGATTTGGAGAGGCGTCCAAATACGTGTGTACGTGTGTGTACGTGTGTGTGTACGTGTGTGTGTACGTGTGTGTGTACGTGTGTGTGTACGTGTGTGTACGTGTGTGTGTGTGTGTGTGTTCGATGCAGAGAAACAGTGGGGAGATGGAATGCAGCAAAAGCAAGATTGGGAATGCAGCAATAGCAAAGAATACGGCACTTCAATTAGTAATAACAGCGTCTATTTCCTATAAAAAAAAACATCACGAAAGCACATTTTTGCAAAGCCTTTACTGCTTAGAAACAGTAGGGTGCAGCAAAGACAAGGGTTTGGCATGAGGTAAATGCGAGAGACTCGTTCTAAAGTTGATATTAACAGGAACAGACATCTTTTCTTACCGTCGTGCAGCATCAAAGTTGTTCTTCACAAATTCATTAAAAGGGCGCATATGCTCCTCTTTTGTAAACAAGACATGGTTGGCAATGCTCTGGAGAATCTAATACATACACAATGTAAACATGAAATTATTTGAACTGAAATACCAATACTTAAAGAGTTAGTTTACCTTTATAGAAATTTTTTTTTAAAAAGGTGAACATCATACGCCCTACTCACCATAACGTAAAGGTGAACTAATACCATACGCCCCCCCCCCCCCCCCCCCCAGTACTTACCTCCAGGGATGCAGAGTTGTCAGTGCCAACGCAGCCAGAAAGTGGACCGGGGATTGGGAATGCACATTGCACATTCTTCTCACTCTTCTCTGTGCAGTCCTCCTGGGAAGGATCAGAGCAGTTCCGACTGGTCAGTGTCCTCACAGAGCATTGCTCTAATCTGTCCCAGAAGCGCTGCACAGAGAAGAGGAAGAAGAGTGAGGATTTCAAATCCACGGACCGCTGGGCTGGCTGTGTGGGCACTGACAGCTCGGCATCCCTGGAAGTACACTGGGGACAGGGCAGTGTATTTATTCTTTAAAGATAATTTAATCAATGATAAAAGTAATCAGCTTTCACAAAACTTTGTTAGGTGATAGAAAATGTGACTGAAGATAAACAGCATTCATCTAAATCTAGTTACATAACTAAATATCAAACACAGAAAAAGTTCACATCTAGCAGCTCTCCTTTTAGCATCAGCACGAAGTGTGAACCCCCATAAGGTTAAAAAACTCATTTGCTGTGCCACCTAATTTCCATGCAACCTGCAATGCAATTTTTACAGATGCGTAAAATGTTTTCATGAACAGGACCCCAAAGTAAGAAACAAAAACCACAAGAGAAATTATCTAGACATGTGTATTCGTACCTTTCCTAAACAGGCGGCTTCTTGATAAAGATAGATATTATAGTGTATTTCCATTTTTGTAGCCAAATAAGGATAACACCAACTTTAAATTTGTAACATGCTTACATTCACATAGAAGAACTTAAAAATAATTTATAATTGCTGCTTACATTTTCACTTTTTTTGAAAATTCCAAAAATTAGGTTTTCCCCTTTTATGTAATGTTAAAGGGACTGGGGAAATTAAAGCCAGTCTGTACTGTGTTGCCAGATTTCATTATCAGCAGTAAACTATACATTAAACTGTCTTTCCCAAAAAAGGGTTAAAGATCTTGAACTGTGGGTTCTGCATTGTATGTCGGTAAGTGGAACTCTGTCTGTCTCCATTTTCTCCCTCTAATTTTACTTTGCATTTTTTCAGAGTAGCTTGCCAACTATTCCAAGGCCTGTTCTAAAGAAACAACTAGAAAAGCAAGAAATATTTACAAATATTTTTAGGTATGCTGTGTGAATGGGAACATGTAACAGACAAAGAATGTTTTTATCTTAAATGTGACAGCAAAGGTGGAAATACACTTCAAGAAAAAAGCATTAACACCACCTTTGATTTGTGATTTCCACAATGTTAAAGCCAGGACACAGACAGCACCATAAGAGATTTTAGAGTCTTGCTTTCCTGTCGCCTTCGGAAGTTGAAAAAACATGGAGCAGAGGAGAATAGAGGAAATGCTAGAGTATGTAGCCCCCTGAACAAGATAGTAAGTTACCTTAGACATTAATTTTAAGCCACGTTCTATTCTGGGTGGTGGCTTCTTATCCAATATCCCTGCTTCATAAGGAGACACAATGGCCGGGTTAATGAACCTGAGGAACATAGCACTTCCAACTGCACCAATGCTGTTCTGGGGAAACCTCTGGCTCACAACCTGTAAAACACAAACACATGCATGTTTAAAGGTGGTAGAAAAAAAAAAATCAAGAAAAAACTCCCAAAAGTTCAACTACATCAAGAGTATCTGATATAAATTTATTACAAAATCAATATAGTGTGATACATTTAAGGAAATGAAAATTCATCAAAGGAGATAATGGGTGAGCTGCATTAATTCAGTAACTAAGCTGTTACTAAATATTAACTGTATGACGCCAAGAAGGAAATGCTGTTCAACTGGCTACATTGTAGGCTTATCTACATACTGTCACGCAGAGATGGCCTTCATTTAACAAAGGATGGCACAAGAGATATAGACTGTCCACAGAATTACATCTTCCCAAGCTGATCAGGAAGAAAGCATTGTACACTGATCTCTAAACTGAGCAGAATTCATTTCACCACCAATCAGCTGGGTCTATTAACAGTTGAAAGACCAGCTGAATTCAGGATTTTTAGTGGCAGCTTCACACAAAAAAAATATTTTTAAACAGGAAGGGTTTGAAAAAAGCCATTAACAGTAAGGACAGTCCAAATTATGCTAAGCCTTGTTTCTGTAGCAGTCAAGAGGAAATATTTTCATTCTGTGACAATGGGATTTCCAGCTACATAAATACAACACTAAAATCCCCCTGCCAATATGCCCAGAAATGGATCAGTGTGAACCACTGTGAAGTCACTTGTCATAAAAAACACTAACAGCAGCATAGAGAGAACTGCAGGCCTCAAAGTCAAGCTCACATACAACCCATTTATAGCAAATAAAACAGTTTTGTTTAGTTTGGTTTAAATCCTGATAATAACTGATATGATAGGGCCCTTGTTTACTGAACAGTCCAGGTGTTACAATCCCCCAAACAGATAATTATTTTGTTAATATTAGTCCTGAGAGAAGGAAAAGCCAACTCATTCAAAACAATTCCAACTTCCACATCAAGAGTTCAAATTGCTTTAACAGTGGGATCGTATGTTACTAAGTCACTTATTAAACCTAACCACAGTAAAGCCTTCTTAAAGCGGAGCTCCACCCAAAAGAGGAAGTTCGCTTTAAGCCTTTGTCCCCCGCTCCCTATTAAAGATTGGCACCTTTGGGGAGCAGGTACCCGAATTTGACAGGTACCTGCTCCCACTTCTGCTGCGATCACCTAGATCGGAAATGGAAGTTGTCCTCCCTCCTCAATCTTCTGGGACACGTGACAGGTCCCAGAAGACTATGGGGCTATTCACAAAGTGCAGCGCTTCTCGCGCCGTAAGTGGTCACAGCTGGGTGCCCACACTGAAGATGCCGGCGCCAGGGTGAGAAGACGGCCGGCGAAACCAGCGGTTGTGAGGACACCATTGGAAAGGTAAGTGGCTGTATTTTAAAGGTCAGAAGCTACAGTTTTTGTAGCTGACTTTTATTATATTTTTTTCAGGTGGAACTCCACTTTAAATCAGATCTCCCCATTAGTACTTTTTGTCTATGAACCATCAACAAATTATAGCTTTAGTAGGTTATTTAAAAGGCAAAATAAAAAAAAATTATATACATACACACACATACATTGATTAGCCATAACATTATGACTGCCCATTATAATCCACTGATGTATGAACCCAACTAGACCACTAAAGGTACACTGTGGCATCAGGTATCAAGCCATTAGTAGCAGATACTTTTAAGTCCTGTAAATTGCGAGGTGGGGCCTCTATGGATTGGACTTGTTTTTCCAGAACATACCACAGATACTCATTTGGATTGATATTTGGAGAATTGGAGGCCAAGTTAAAACCTTAAATATGGTGTTGTGTTCTTCAAACTATTCTTGAATTCATCAGACAAAACAACCTTCTTTCATTGCTCCGTGGCCCAGTTCAAATACTCATCTGTGCATTTTTTTTGGTGCTTTTGGCTATGGACACAGGTCAGCATGGGCACCCGGCCTGGTCTGTGGCTACATAGCAACTTCGGGGGCAACATGTTCACTTGCTGCCCAATATATCCCACCCACTTTCAGATGCTATTTAACAAGATAATCAATGGTGCTACTTTTACAGTGAGTGGTCATAAAGCTATGACTGATTGGTGTGTGTATATATATATACATACACACTATATTGCCTAAAGTATTGGAATGCCTACATTACACACACATGCACTCTAATGGCATCCTAGTCTTAGTCCGTAGGGTTCATTATTGAGTTGGCCCACCCTTTTTAGCTATAACTTCAACTCTTCTGGGAAGGCTGGCCACAAGGTTTAGGAGAGTGTCTATAGAAATGTTTGACCATTCCTCCAGAAGTGCATTTGTGAGGTTAGGCACTGATGTCAGACAAGAAGGCCTGGCTGTTCTATCCGGTTGAGGTCAGGACTCTCTGCAGACCAGTCAACTTCCTCCACCCCAAACTCGGTCATCCATGTCTGCAGAGTCACTAGCTAAAGACCTCCAAACTTCATGTGGCCTTTAGATTAGCACAACAACATTGCATAGTAGGCTTCATGGAATGGGTTTCCATGGCCGATCAGCTGCATCCAAGCCTCAAATCACCTAGTGCAATGCAAAGCATTGAATGCAGTGGTGTAAAGCACACCACCATTGGACTCTAGAGCAGTGGAGACATGTTCTCTGGAGTGACGAATCACTCTTCTTTGTCTGGCAATCCAATGGACATGTCTGGGTTTGGAGGTTGCCAGAACGGTACTTGCCTGACTGCATTGTGCCAAGTGTAAAGTTTAGTGGAGGTGGGATTATTGTGTGGGGTGGTTGTTCACGGCTTGTGTTTAGCCCCTCAGTTCCAGTGAAGGGAACTCTTAAGACGTCGGCATACCAAGACATTTTGGACAATTTCATGCTCCCAACTTTGTGGGAACAGTTTGGGGATGGCCCCTTCCAGTTCCAACATGACTGCGCACCAGTGCACAAAGCAAGGTCCATAAAGACATGGATGAGTGAGTCTGGGGTGGAGGAACTCGACTGGCCTGCACAGAGTCCTGACCTTAACCCGATAGACCACTTTTGGGATGAATTAGAGTGGAGACTGAGAGTCAGGCCTTTTCATCCAACATCAGTGCCTGACCTCACAAATGCGCTTCTAGAAGAATGGTCAAACATTCCCATAGACACCCTCCTAAACCTTGTGGACAGGCTTCCCAGAAGAGCTGAAGCTGTTAAATCTGCAAAGTGTGGCCAAATCAATATTCCTTTCAGGAAACGCGCTACATATATCACAATGTTCCAATCCTATAAAAGTTCAAGAAGCACTAAAAACCATTGGATGGCAACCATCCAATGAAGCTACGCAGGCATAACACATAAGGTTGTGGAGAGAGTGACATTTCAAACCGTTAAAGGAACCCACGAGGATTATTCTGACAGGAGACAATCAGGGAATGAGAGCATGGGAGGAAGGACACAGACCTCGCTCACAGAGTTTCCACCACCTGCTGCAGTCATATGGAGGTTTTGTTCTGATATCGCTGTTATCTGTGGTACACCAGGAGAGTGCACTTTACTTGTGAGTGTTGTTTTTAATTATGTTTTAATACATTTTATACACTGGTACACACTATATCAGCATTTTTTCCTACATGTATACCAACGATCCACCTGCACCGGAGGCTCTGAGCACCTTAAGGCGAAGAAAATCCCCATAACCCAGGGATAATAGGGTTAAAGGCGCAACTAGAACGAAATTAAGTAGGTCTACTCTTCAGGTGAGAGGGTGATGGTACCTCACTAGTGGTGATTGTATTAAGTACTATTTCGTGCACACGGACAGAAGGGTCTTAATTTGTATGGAAGCTGATAGGGACTTTCATTTCACTTCATCTTTGAGCATTATATTTAGGAGGATCGCATCTATGAATATCTGCTTTGTGATGATTTTAGCAGAGGGATTCAAAGGTTTTTAGTGCTTCTTGGACTTTTATAGGATTGTAATATATGTAGCGCTGTCCTGAAAGGAATATTGTTATCTTTATATGTGGTGTGATCATATGAAGACTTAGCGGCAACATATCAACTTATTTGTTAATTTACCATATTGGTTGTGGTAATCTCAGTAGGGACCGCACACAGGTTTATTTATTTCATTGGGCCAACTCAATATTGAACCCTACGGAAAAGACTTGAATGCCATTAAAGTTCATGTGTGTAAAGGCAGGCATCCCAATACTTTTGGCAACAGTGTGTGGCTTTGCCATTTCTGGAGTCACTTGAAACAGATTTGTATACAACTGAAGCATGAACTGTTTTCAATTACAAATGACAACATGAAGCAGCAAATTGAGAAGCAAAAAGGGTACATTTCAATACACTCTTGAAATTATGTGGTTGTGGACATAACTATCTTCTAACTCCAGGCGCATCCCAATAAAATAAGACAGGCTATATGGATATTTGGGGAACATGCAAGAAGCTAGCAGCAGATTATATTTGGCTAGAAACAATAGACACAACTGCACTAGATGTTTTTTACATGCATGTCAAGCCAAAACCCTTTTGTATCTTAAAATGAATGTCAGTATAATGTAAAAAGAAGTACTATGTATGTAGCAAACCTGATACAAACACAAAATATTTTATGGTTTTATTTCCATACAGTAACCTAAAACAAAGCTAAACTAAAATAGGTTTCTTGTAATCGGACCCCAAAACGGTTTCCCTGGGTAAAAGAGGCTTCTTTCCATATAGATCAATTCCTGGGATTGTTGGAAAAAGAACATTCCTTGTGAAAGCATATAAATCCAGATGACTGACAGGTGTAAAAAGCCTTCTACTGGGGAAAACACCAATGGATAAAACACATATCTCTGATCCATGTCCTGCAGGTGCTCTCCTGCAAGAAGCCACATTCTATTATTTGTGAGGACATTATGCTTGCTAAAACACAGAATACTCCACCTGTAAGTTGCTTTTAACTATGAAAGTTAAACTGCAAAATTTGATTTTACACTTTTGCAAAGGAATGCATGAAAATTGTACACAGAAGGAAGACAGCTGTTGACCTGGAAAA